TTCGCCTCCCCTCAAACCTCAGGAGAAATCCCCCTTAACATCGCCGGAGATATCACCCCTCGATCACGTCCACAGGCTTCCTACGGTCCCGTAGACAGCTCTTCGACAATGGGGTTTGAGAAACTATCACTCAACACTCAGGGCCAAAACTACTCGCCTAGCGGACGATCCTCCCGCTCTCCCTACCCACACTCCGCTACATCTACCCAGGGCCCGTTCTCCGTCCCTCGCCCTGCCCCTTCACCAGGCTACCTCTCTACCAGAAACGGCTCTCAGTCCGCTGGCCTTCCACATCTAGCTGGTCCTCCACCAAAAGGCCCCTTACCAGTACCACCTACATCCGATACCTGGCGAAACCAGCAACAGAACAGGATATAAACACCCCAAACTCGTACCATACCAATCATTTTTTTTCCAACCTGACCAATCTGCATCTAAGTTACCATCCTAACCATTTACATTTCAAACGGCGCCATCTATCTTTTGTTCCACCAGTTATCACCTACTTTGCCTGTTCATCTATGTTTACCTAAATCATTGCTCTTCATTTCCTTTATTTACCTCATAGTTTATCATTTTCCTTTGCACCCCTGTTATTGTCACTCTTCCTGTTGTGTTTCACTCTCGAGTTCTCATACCCTACCACCTCATATATACATACATATAGCACCTACCTGTGTAGTTATCATAATAATGACCTCTAGCATGCATGCAATGGTACTTGGCAATCAGAAATTCATAGGAATGTACATAGTTTGGATGCTTTCTTTACATAAATACAATACTTGATATATTACCTGAAGATCGGAATGCTTTCTCTTTCTCGCTCGTAGAAAAAGGGGGCTGGGGGGATGTCTGACTGACTGACAGCGTGGCAAAGCTCGACTTGTAAATCACTAAATGAATGTATTATCAGCCTAGTTATTATAGGTTTGTTTCTTATTAATATCAACAGGCTCGTCGTATTGTTTATTAGTCGAGCATACATCATAGAGAAGGGTTCTAACAGTAGCGACATCCATCATCATCGACAAGAATAGCTGAATAAACGCCAAAGAAACAGAGAAGAGACAATAATACCCGAACATGTATTTGCCGCCGTAAACCAGCTCGACTAACCCAGCAAGCCCTTTTTATCATATATTTCTTTAGTCATTCGTGTGCATTAAGAGAAAGCGGACGAAGCCGCGTCGTAAACCGATATCATGAAGTCAGAAGCAAAGAAAAAAGAAGGAAGACAGAAAGTAAACGCAGAATCAAATCAGAACAAGTCAATGAGAGGATGAGAGGACATCGGCTCCCTTGACTCTTCCGGCGCCTTTTTTCCCAGACTTGGATTTCCCATTGCTGGACACGGGTCCCGAGTTGCCTACGCCTAGGGTAACTGGCAAGGTCTCCAGGATGGCTCTGTTCCCTTCGAAATAGTGATCGACGAACCCTCCTCCTAGAATTCTGCGCATGGCGGCAAGACGTATCCACTTCCACCATCTATCAACACGCATGTAGCTGTTACGATGGAACTTGACTGTCTTGCGGCTCCCATAGTTGTGGTTGGTTTCAAAGTCGATGGCGTTGCTGTACTGTGGCCCACGGCGGGGGTTGATGACGGTATTTAAGATGGATGTGAAGTTGGTGTGAAGGGAGCGTTTGTCCTTCTTGTTGATGTGGCGACCAGATATGTGGGCGAGGGACTCGACTTGTCTAATGATGCGGTGTGTGTTGTGGTATGCGTCGTAGCGCTTGATTAATTTGGCGCCGTTATCATCCTCATCGTCTGATAGGGAAGAGGAGCGGTCGTCGTCTGTGATGTTGTAATTCTCTTCTTCATCCGACTCATCATCTTCCCTGGGCGTGTAACTCTTTTCGTAAAGAAGTGCGATGTTCTCACCAGCTGCGACCTGAACGCTGGTCTCACTGCTATCCAGTTGGTCTGCGAAGGCCTCGATGGCCTCCTCACTCTCGACTTCGAGGTCTTCTATATGCGAGGCGAGGAATCCCCATTCCTCAAGGGCTGCGGTGACCGTGTCTGAGTCATCGGTGGCTTCAATGTAGGCACCGTCAGACATGGCTATCTCCAGCAAGAAGTTCATCTGTTCGATTATGCTGTCATCACCTGCCCCACCAAAGATCGTACACGCACTCAGAGTTCGTATAGCGGCAGCCTTGACGGCGAAAGAAGGCGAGTCCATGATGGCCCGTTTGACGACCGAGCTCATGGACGGGTAGATGGTGTCATCCATCATGGTTACGGCCATGAGAGACGTTGCCTTGAGGGCGAGGATGGTTTCCTTCTCGCTTGGTTCCGATCGGATGGATTTCGCGAACGCCTTGAGCAGCTCGTCCACCTTTTCGCCGAGTTCTTCCTCGTGGTAGTGGGCAGTCAGCATCCGGACAAACAAGTTGAGGTAGTCCTCTCGTCCCTGAACGCTGCTACGTTTCCGGTCGATGAGTTCGTCGATCACATCCTGCAAGGGCGCTCGACTTGCTTCTGCGTCTTGCTCCCCTGAGCCGGACTCTTCAGCCGAAATGTTGCTATCAAGTTGTTAGATAAAATAACGGTGATAACGAGCAGGATGCCATACCTCCAGGCAGTGCCTACACTCCGAGTATCATCATCATCATCATCCTCATCGTCCGAAGGGTGTCGACTAACATTTCTCGAGGACTGGCGAGAACTGTGGGCGGACGTCGTCCTCGAGTTAGGAGTAGACACTCCACGGCTCTGAGCCTTACGAGAGACGGTCTTGTTGCTCTCGAGAGCACGTCGACGGAGGTCACGCATGGTGGCGATACTCCTCGATATATCAACGTTCTTCTTCCGTGTGTTGTTGAGAGATAAAGATAGTATTATATTGATTTATGCGGAGAGAGAGAGAGGGGGGCAAAGCAGTTCCTTATCGGATAAGCCGTGTGTGGGTCTGTCTTTTATGCAGGTGTCTCTAGCGGTTGTCCCTTGATATATATTAAGGAGGGCGAAACGGTTGTAGAGATAGGTGTTATCCCAAAGCTCCGTGCAGGCGGGAGAGGCGTGAGGATATGGGTTCCATAAGGCAGACGGAGGGCAGATACGGCGTTCCGGGGTTGGTTCGTTGGCCTGTCAGGCGCTGGTGCAGCAGGGCTAAGCGTCTTTTAGGGCGGTTTTTGACGGGTGGGACGAAGTTGTCGATGTCAGAAGATGATGAAGTCGCAAGTTTTTTTCAGCACCTAAAAAAAAACTGCCAAGTTGAATGCGGCGGAAAGACAACGTGACTGATGACTAAGCTTAAAGGCGGTGAGTGACCGGCTTAGTAATATCTTCTTTGGGATTTGGTCAGGTGATATATCACGTGTGATTAGTCATCAAAGTCTTGGCGAGTCGATGGCTTTTTTTTTCCTTTTTTTTGTGCTTTTCAACGCTTTCAATCTTTTGATACTTCAACATGCATGATGTTTTTGTATAGAAGATAATATCAAGTGCCGGCTTATCCTCGTGCTTATGGTTGGTTATACTGTGTCTCAGGATCCCCCTGGAGCCTGTTAGGTAAGTATCCAAAGAAAGCAATAATATACGGAGTACTCCATATCCGGACGATACATACGGAACAAGTAGCTATTTGCTACCTGATGTGTGCCGGCCAGCCAACCATAAAGAAAGGTAAGTATTCTCTACTCTGTATGTAACTCCAAACAGAACGTTGCCATCGTCTGATGCATACTTAGGACGGATCACGATCCCTGCTTAGTCACAAGAGTTGGCATACTGACTGGCATCGAGCTAATTGTCTGGACAGTCTCATAAAGCTAACCAGGGTTCAACAACAGCTTCCTTTGTCTGTTTTTACTCGTTCGTGGCGAGATACGGTCTACCCAAAGCAAGAGTTCATGGGCCCAGCGATCAAGTCGACGGGGAGGCGCTCGTTGCATCCACAGCTCCTCACCTTTAACTAGCAGATAACTAGACTGCTACATTATTATTAGCATCTGCAGACATGGAATGAATTTCTTTGTCCCTCCCTTCGGGCCTAGTATCGTCTTTTGTGGCGGCTACGGCCTGACAAGCCATCGGTCTCGCCATGAAAGTATATATATGACATGTTATATAATCTTCTCCCCGTTGCAAAGCTGCCTAAATCATCCCACTTGGTGATCCCTGTCACAAATCCAAATCCATAGGAGGAAAGTTGAGCCATTAGCGCAGAACGGGAAGGGTGCCATCCTGCATGAATAGTACGGGATGATGCACCGGGGTGGAGAGCCGAAAAGCAAATCTAGCAATCACACGCATCGTTTTCTATCACTTACTGCAGTCCTCATTCCCGTCGTTTTCGTTTGGCTCCTCACTTTCACAACCTTTTGGGTTGGTCCAGTTGTTTGGTCAATGGTTCAGTTGCCAATGTGAAGTTTTGGCCGTGGCAAGGGAGTTTCCCATCAGCGACTGTACGGAGTACTTAAAAGGCACAGAAAACATTAGCATTTGCATCTCTTTTCCAGTGCAATATTATATTCAGCAATCTTTTATCTAGCTTGCTTTGCCCTGTGAGCTGCCGCTATATGCCAACACTCTTACCACTTTTTATCTCCTATAGTTAAAGTCAAAAGAACACTGAATACTCCTTTTGTACAGTTAAAACAGCTATGGTTGCTATTAGGGAAACCAGGGTCGAACTCAACGTACGCTGGGCTCCCACAAATACCTCCAGCCTACTTAATTTCTTTAGGTCAGCGTGTTGATATTGATTCTAGGCATGCCATCCGGTAGAGGATCGTGAAGACGACCCCACGTATGGCGAATTGTAAAGCTCTCAATATCCTTCCCCCCCTTTTTGGCGGCTGCACCAGCTAATGCATAGCTCTAGCCCCGAGGAGCAGAGCTACCTAAGCTCTCTAACCTCTAGCGTTCTCAACTACAAGTGAGATCCCTCCTTCACCGTGGTATTAAGCTAGATAACTAATGCTCTTCTTAGATATGAGGTTGGAATGCCTGGAATATGGAAACTAGTTCTTTGCGGCACCCAGTGATCGCTAATGGGTTGGTGATATAGAATGGCCGGCGGTACCATGCATTCCGTGAAGGAATATACACTCTCGTATGGATACCCTACACCCTTGGCCCCTATCCCTAGAGAGCATACTTCTGATTCGAGATATAATCCATAGCCCAACGATAAGGAGGAGCAAGATCGGATGGACCTTGTTCACCATATCTACCTCTTGCTTCTGGAGGGTGCACTCCACATTGCTCCAATTTCAAACCCAAGGAGGGTATTAGATCTGGGGACCGGAACAGGTAGCTATCTCCTCCATCATCTGTACACGCTTAAACTAACTTGATGCCAGGCCTATGGGCAAATGACTTTGCAGAGTGAGTGTTGAATCTTGTATACATCTACCTTGTTACTGATAACCTTTAGTGAACATCCCAACTCTGTGGTCATTGGTATGTATATCCTCGCTTATCCTAGTAATGTGGCTTACACTCTATCTTAGGGACGGACCTGAGTGCAATACAATCAGCCTGGTACATATAGCCCATATTTGTCTTGAGAAAGGAAACGCAAACTAATCGTTTCTACTAGGGTTCCACCCAACGTGACATTTGAAATTGACGACTACGAAACAGAATGGTCTTACTCATGTGGCTTTGACTTTATACACACCCGTGAGCTGATGGGATTCATTGGCGACCACGACCACTTCTTCGCCCAAGCATTCGAAAATCTAAACCCTGGTGGCTGGCTCGAAATGCAAACGATAGACCCAACTATCTGCTCCGTTGACGGAGGAATGGAGAGAGCAGGGATTCTACCTGGCTACGTTGCAAACCTGCATAAAGCCAGTGCCTTGTTTGGGAAGTCTATGACCGAAGCCGGATCCTGGCCCGCTCGGATGGTCAGGGCTGGCTTTCGGAGTGTCCAGGTTCAAATTTTGACAGTAAATTTTAATCTTACCCTCCATCTCTCTACAGCTTACTGACACTTTATCTTAGCTACCAATCGGCACTTGGCCAAAGGACGATGAAATGAAAGAAGTTGGTAAGTTCCAACAAGTGCAGGCGTTGCAGGCAGTTGACTCCTACACGCCTGCCCTCTATACTCGTGTTTTGAATTGGTCTTGGGAAGAGGTCGACACTCTTTGTACTCAAGTTCGGGCGGAACTTCAAGATCGTTCCTTGCATCTTTACCAAAGAGTGCATGTTGTTATAGGGAAGAAACCCTGACTATAACTTGGCAATGTAGCACGGGGTTAAATAGGGATAAGGATAACGGCTTTAGGGTTGGTATGGTTTAATAATGACTCAATATTCGGTTTAAAATATGGGGTATAATGATTCATCTGAACTTAACCGTGGGGGCTTATAACTATATTCCGGGTCAATATATGGTACCACTTCACGTATATGGGTGCTCTCTTTCTCTGCCACAATGCCTCGACACCGTCTTGAAAAAAAAAAATCAAGTCTCCACCCGCATTAACATATATGACTGTCATAAAATGTCTTCTATTTAGGGGATTACGGCTGTCTCAGCGTCGGACATGAAGGTCTTTGTACGAGCGTCGTTTGACCACCAAATCCACCAGGGCAGGATGACCTCCTTCAGCTTGTTCACGAAATAGCCACAGTCGCGAACGGTCTCCCATCGCCTCGATGCCTCTTGATAATGTTCATCTATACGATGGCGACGCAACTCTTCGTACACTTTAAATGCCTCGGTCAGAGGGTGGGATCGATACTTCGCTAGAGTGCGAGTAAACAAGATTGCATCCTCGATGGCGATTCCAATACTTTCACCCTGCGGGGGCATCTATATGGCCTTGTTAAATATATATATCACATTAAAAATATCTACAGATGTGATAGGACTTACTGCATGAGCTGCGTCTCCTAGTAACATGACTCTCTCGGTGCACCACTTCCCGCCAGGTGGTAATTTGTAGACGGGAAACAAGAACCAGCTGTTTGATGCCGTGATCATCTCCCTTACACAGGGAAAGGCAGATTCACCAAATCTATCGAGGATGTCCGCTTTAACGGCATCCTGGTCTGCTCCCTTGGTCTTCCACCCATCTCGCGAGAGCGTTTCTTTGGCCTCCGTCACGGACGCGAGGTAGATGCTCTCGTGGGTTGGCTCATAGAAAGTAGCCAACAAGGATCCCTTTCGTGACATGTTCATGCCCGTTGCTTTGAAATGTAGGTCCGATGAGACCGCCTTGCGATCGACATATCCCTGGGCCACGGAAATACCGGTATAGACTGGCTCTCGTTCGGGTTCGACGTAATTCATCCGTGTCTTGGAGTGTATACCGTCACAGCCCAGGACCAGATCTGCCTCGACCTCTGTTCCGTCTTCGAACGATACTAGTACCTTTTTCTCTCCTTTGTTTCCAGAAGAAGGCTCTTCCAGCCTGACAACCTTCTTGCCATAGAGTATCCTCAACGTGACATTTGCATAGGTAGAGGCGTTGATAGCGTCCAGCATGGCCGACATGAGGTCAGATCTCATCACCCTGAGGCCTCTGAATCCTCCCAGCGGGCTGCCCTCTGTGTCTACAAAGTCCATGGACGCAAGCTGGCCAGGCCCAGAGTAGTTTGAGAACAGCTCAATACGGTCTACTTCGGCGCCGCATTTATTCTCCTGCAGGTGCTCGTACACCCCGAGCCTGTCGAGATTTCGCAGTGCATTAGGCATCAGATTCACGGCACCGCCCAGAGTGGTTGGCTCGTCGCGAAGCTCATAGACGGTGACATTGATGAGCTCGTCCCTGCTCGATAGATATTTGGCCAGCGCCAACGCCGCCGCAAGACCGCTCATTCCGCCTCCAATAATACATATTTCAGAAAGGGGAGCCATAGTAGGTATAGACAGGCGAATATCGAGCTGGACGATCACACGCCATGCATATCAGGAGTATCGATATATGTGTTGGAGATTTCCTCAACTGCCCCCAACTGACTACGGGAGTAACTACTTATATTTCTTCCATCGCCGTCCACGACGACCAAACAACAACTCGACCAAAAACCCCGCGCCTGGCAGACCAGAGTTCTTGATGCCAGTGACGGCACACAGAATACGAAGTATGGCATAAATTGGGCTTGCTAGTTGTATTTAACTAGCGAACCGGGGTTTCTATTGGCTACGCATAGCACTTTATGCGAGTGCGAGCAAGTCGAAAAGAAGCTTGAAGGTGAAGAAGCTTTGAAGGATAAAAGCAATCCACTCCAATCAGTACAATGTAGTTAGTCGGCTCACGTCTCTCATAATCGAGTTCAAAAAGTGAGGACTATCTTGTGGAAGAAGACACTTTTACGGAGCTGATCCTTGAAGAGATTTCCGGGGAAGATCGTTCTAAAGCCATCATGCAAAGCATTTGAAGAATTTACCGGCAGCCCTTTCGTTAAGATCGCCGCAAATGTAAGATACACCATCCAGGAAGGCCCTTCGCGGGTCATTTATCCATTATGTGTTTGTGATTATAAGACAAACTAGTTTCCCGAAACATTCCCTGGTTCGTCATACAGCCTCCAAAGAAGGCGTTCTGCCATGAGCTCGTCCGCGTATGAAGGAAGCTTCGGTTTGATGCTCTCAGGCCAGTCTGGCACCTTAAATGAACTGTAATAGGCCTTTGTTAGATCCCAGTACTCTGGGTACCAGCCTGCAAGTTCCCAGTCCACGACTCCCACAATTCTGCCATGGCGTATGATAATATTCCGCGGGGCTAAATCCGAATGTGAGAAAAACGTCAGATAGTTGTTGCTATGGCAGGATGCAACTTCGTCCCCATAAATTTTGGCAGTGTTTTCCAGTGGAACGCCGCCCCGTAAAAAAGCGTGGAAGCTGGAATGGGACTTAAATGGGCCAACCGGTTGACTACCGATGCGATGATCAAGAATGGCACCGCCCTGCGCGGATGCAACTATTCCTTCTTCTGGGGGAGTAAGTGCTCGGAGTTGGCTTAAGATAGCCGCAATATCGTTGATGATGGTGTCCTTTTCCTGGGGCTCCAGGCCGCGCATCCACAGGGTTTCAAGATCTGTGCCTTGAATGTGGTCCATCATAATATAAATGCCTCCCGGCCCATCGTAGGTGCACTTGACTCGAGGAACTGGGATGGTGGTGTGTTCTGAAATGTAGAGAAGTGCTTCAAGTTCTGGGAGCTGGCACGGTCCTTTAATAACATGATTCCGGCTGACCCTAACAACAGTTGGACCCAGAGATCCAAAGATTGACCGGGCTATTCTAAACTGAGTGCGAAGAATGAGGGTCTTCAAACCTAACGTGCTCATTAAACACTGAAGTTGGCGTTAGTATCGATAGAGCTTTTCTTGAGCAAACCTTGCAATACCATCCTCCCTAGCTTTGAGGGTCGATAAAACCAGAACTGCCAGATGAGACACGTCTTCTCTATTATCTCTAGTGGAAGAGTTCAAGGGATGCTGATAGAAATCAAGTACGGGGTGATGTTGGCTGTATTGGGAGCTTGGTGGGAGTATCGTATCTTCTTTAACAATATTTATGTACGGAGATCCTTACGTAATAATTATGACTAAGCTAACACGAGCCATGTTGAAAGGAGCCAATCAGTGGCCAAAATTCCAGCCAATGAAATAAATCGTATTTAACTAGCGAAGCGGAGTTTCTATTGGCCACGAAGAGCACTTTATGCGTGTGGCGAGCAAGTCGAACTTCCACGCTTGAAGGCAGAAGCTCTTTGAAGAAGAAAAAGCAAGGTGAGGAGGAGTTTCTTATCTCCTTTGCCTGGCTGTATATTCATCGTAGCCATCGTGGCTTGATCAGAGTTGAAGCAGTGCAAGGCGGTAACCCATCAGTGTGCGATCACGATAGCACATCCCCAGGCTAGCAATATTAACTATGATGGAGTAGAAGACCCTCTTACAAAGTAGACGTTTCATAACTTGCTAATTTCATCAATAGGAACATGTCGGGCCGAATTATGCTATGCTATCGAGTTCTGTAACGACTTGGGCGGGGAGTTTGGCCGTAGATGGAGATGGATGAGGCCGTCCTGATGCCATCTCATCTCTCCTGGATCAGCAGCTTTTTCACATGAGGTCGCCTGAAACTATAGCTATTACATGGTACTAATGGTACCATCGATCGAAATCTCGGACAAACTGAGCATGCCAAGGACCAGCTGAAGGACCCTCGGGCGTTATTCTTCCCGACAGGCCAACGGGAACGTCCCTGATTTTATGCCTGTCCGGATCTTCTGCGGATTAACGTCATTCCAAGGTTCCGCATGTCGGCTGAACGTGAGCTTCTGTCCAAGATCGGGGGATACCTACACATGTGCTCCGGTACACTACCACGGAACAAGATACTTCACTACTGCCGAAATGACTTTTTGTGGAAACACAGCTGGTTGGCTTATACAGATCTACCAGGCCTGTAGATCAAGGCCGGGCCAGAAATGGCCCAGTAACCTTGATTTTTGGTGGGGATCGAGACGAGTTGTGCAACCTGTGCTTGCTCCTCTCCGGATGCCATGTCTTCTTCATACCATAGTACTCCGTATACATATCTAGTGTATATATGTATACACAAACCGGGAAGCTCGGAAATGGTTAACAGAGCCGAATTAAACTGCATATTAACTCAGCAGCGTTCGCCGAGATTTCTTATCGCCCTCCTATCAAATTGTATATAGACTGCGACATAAAAACGCAGGGGCTGGCCACTCGTTGCGCCCACCCGTCCTTTTGTCCATTCGTCCAAAATGGCTTCACAATCTCCTCCTCACCCTGTTTCTGATCGGCCTGCTGGCCTATTTGAAGAATATGAGAGTGAAGTTATCACCGAGACAACACATCGCCCCGCCAGTTTAAACGGAAACCACTCTGCCAACGATGGCGCAGATGATAGATACGAATCCGATAATGAATCGGGAGCCATGTATGAAACAGTTAGGACGTGGTCACCACAGACCCGGCCGGAATTGGTTCGAATTGCCTCTGCCTTCTCGAGAATAGATTCTCATCCTGATGCCCCGTCTGCCACAGAGGACGGAGGCCGGTTGAATCGACGTGACACTCTGGCTGGTGTCCAGATTGGCGACCCTGTTCTCAACCCCACGAAGCCCGAATTCGACTTCTACAAATGGGCCCGTATGTTTTTTTATATCATGGAGAAGGAAGGGATCAAGCATAACAGAACTGGAGTCATGTTTCGCAACCTTACCATTTCAGGCTCTGGCTCTGCTGTACAATATCAAGACACCTTCCTCTCGCCATTCGCCGCTCCATTTCGTCCCGGCGAGCTCTGCGGGAAGGGTAGGAACCCCGAAAAGGTCATACTACACGATTTTAATGGGGCAATGCGTGAAGGAGAGCTTCTTATGGTCCTAGGTAGACCTGGCAGTGGCTGTTCCACCTTTTTGAAAGCAATCTGCGGTGAATTACATGGTCTTCAGAAGAGCAGAGAGTCCATCATCCACTACAACGGAGTCTCTCAGCGTACTTTCAAAAAGGAGCTTCGTGGCGAAGCTGTGTATAGTGCTGAAGACGAGCACCATTTCCCTCATTTGACAGTTGGTCAGACTCTCAATTTCGCCGCTGCTGCTCGCACGCCCTCTAATAGAGTACTTGGAGTGAGTCGAAAGGACTTTTCAACGCATTTAGCACAGGTGATGATGTCGGTATTTGGCCTAAGCCACACAAAGAATACAAAAGTCGGCGATGACTACGTCCGTGGAGTGAGCGGTGGAGAGAGGAAGCGAGTTAGTATTGCTGAAATCGCACTCTCTGGTGCTCCAATTTGCTGCTGGGATAATTCTACCCGAGGCCTTGATTCAGCTACTGCCCTCGAATTCACAAAGGCACTGAAGATCAGCTCTCAAGTCGGCGGTATTACTCAGTGCCTCGCAATCTACCAGGCTAGTCAGGCCATTTATGACATTTTCGACAAGGTGATTGTGCTTTATGAAGGACGTCAGATCTACTTCGGCCCAACCAAGGCCGCAAAGCAATACTTTGAGGATATGGGATGGCATTGCCCGCCTCGGCAGACAACTGCGGACTTCTTGACTTCCGTGACCAACCCCAAGGAGAGAATAGCGAAGGAAGGGTTTGAGAACAGGACCCCGCGAACTGCAATCGAATTTGAACGATACTGGAAACAGTCACAGAATAATAAGCTACTTTTGGCTGACATGCATCATTTTGAGGCTGAATATGAGCCGGAAGAAGGCCATCTCCAAGGCCTACGCGAAGCACACGAGCAGGCTCAAGCGAAACACACGTCGTCGAAATCTCCTTACAGAATCAGCGTTCCGATGCAAGTAAGGCTATGTACGGTTCGCGCATACCAGCGCCTATGGGGAGACAAGTCATCTACAATTTCGACTAATATCAGTCAAATCATGATGGCTCTGATTATTGGCTCTCTTTTCTTCAATACCCCTCAGACTACCGACGGCTTCTTCGCAAAGGGCTCCGTCATTTTCTTTGCTATTCTTCTTAACGGCCTGATGTCAATCACTGAAATCAACGGGTATGTTCAAAAGCTCCCCAAGTGTCTCTCTATTGTTTATAAGACTCATGGAAGCTAACCTGCTTTTAAAATAGACTATGTAAGGATTTAATGTAGACTCATCAAAGAATTTACTGACATCCGTTTACAGACGCTCAACGCCCAATTGTTGTCAAACATGTCAATTTTGCCTTTTATCATGCGTATTCAGAAGCCTTAGCTGGTATTGTTGCAGATATACCCATCAAGTTCCTCCTCGCCACGGCATTCAATGTCATCATATATTTCCTGGGAGGGCTGCAGAGGTCTGCAGCAAAGTTTTTCATCTTCTTCCTGTTTACGTTTCTCACAATTCTCGTTATGTCGGCTATATTTCGCACATTGGCTGCAGCGACCAAGAGTATATCCCAAGCTCTTGCTATGGCCGGAGTTATGATACTTGCTCTTGTTATATACACTGGGTTCACGCTCCAACCTGCTTATATGTTAGATCGACCAGTTCCTTATAACTCGAAAGGCTCTATATGCTAACCCACGTTATAGGCATCCTTGGTTTAAGTGGATTCGTTATATCAATCCCATTGCATACGCTTATGAATCATTACTCGTGAATGAAGTCCACGGCAACCGCTATACATGTGCTACCCCCGTTCCTCCATACGGGAGTGGAAATAATTTTGCATGCCCTGTTGCTGGAGCTGTTCCTGGGGAAATGTCGGTTTCGGGTGATGCATGGGTGCAGTCCAGCTATGACTACAGTTACGCACATATTTGGAGGAATTTAGGGATTCTATTGGGTTTCCTCATATTCTTCTATTTTGTCTACTTGGTGGTTTCTGAGCTCAACTTATCCAGTACTTCATCCGCCGAGTTTCTGGTTTTTCGTCGAGGGCATCTTCCCAAGAATTTCCAGAGATCAGAAGATGAGGAGGCTGCTGCTGGAGGCATTGTCCATTCCAATGACCCAGCTCAGGTACCTCCCAAAAACAGCAATGGTGTTTCCGGAGAGACTGCTCGGGGCAGTTCTGCTGTTGCAGTTATCCCACCGCAGAATGATATATTTACCTGGAGAAACGTCACGTATGATATTACTATTAAGGGGGAGCCTCGCCGGCTTCTAGATAATATCTCAGGCTGGGTCCGTCCCGGAACACTAACTGCGCTGATGGGAGTTTCGGGGGCGGGAAAGACTACCCTCCTCGATGCATTAGCGCAACGAACTACCACTGGTGTCATCACAGGGGACATGCTCGTAAATGGGAAACCTTTGGACTCATCCTTCCAGCGAAAAGCCGGATACGTCCAGCAGCAAGATCTTCATTTAGAGACAACCACTGTCCGCGAAGCGCTTCGGTTTTCCGCAGACCTACGCCAACCCAAATCTGTTTCAAGAAAAGAAAAGTATGATTATGTTGAGGATGTGATAAAGATGCTCAGCATGGAAGATTTCAGTGAAGCCGTGGTTGGTAATCCAGGGGAAGGGCTTAACGTTGAACAACGCAAACTTCTTACGATTGGGGTTGAGCTTGCAGCAAAGCCACAACTTCTGTTGTTTCTTGATGAGCCTACATCTGGACTTGACTCTCAGAGCTCTTGGTCCATTGTTACGTTTCTACGAAAGCTTGCTGATAATGGGCAGGCAGTCCTCTCAACCATTCACCAACCATCGGGCATCCTCTTCCAACAATTCGATCGTTTGCTCTTCTTAGCTAAGGGCGGAAGAACTGTTTATTTCGGAGATATCGGCGAGAACTCAGAGACTTTGTTGAATTATTTTGCAACTCATGGAGCGGAGCCCTGTGGCCCTAGTGAAAACCCGGCAGAGTATATGCTTAACATTGTCGGCGCTGGGCCAAGTGGGCAATCGAAAATTGACTGGCCGACGGTATGGAAAGATAGTAACGAGAGTCATCAGGTTCAACAAGAGCTTGACCGAATTCAATTAGAAACAAGCAAAAGGAACGAGGGCAGCGATCAACCGTCTGAAAAAGAACCTAGCGAATTTGCTATGCCTTTTACCGCGCAGCTCTACTGCGTTACCACTCGGGTGTTCCAGCAGTACTGGAGAACACCTTCGTACATCTGGGGCAAGCTGCTTCTAGGACTAGCATCAGCCTTGTTCATGTGAGTTCATCTATCAATCCATTTTAATTCATGCAGAAGACTAACAACGGACTTTATTTAGCGGTTTCTCATTTTTCCTGCAGAATACCTCTATGGCAGGTCTTCAAAATAGCTTGTTCTCCATATTCATGTTGACAACAATCTTCAGTTCCCTTGTCCAGCAGGTAATAAAATTAACTTCTTGCACATGAAGGAACTGGTGCTAATACGATAATAGATTATGCCACGCTTTGTCACACAGCGAGATCTTTTCGAAGTTCGAGAACGCCCCTCCCGTGCGTATAGCTGGAAAATATTCTTGCTTGCAAACATAATAGTTGAAATACCTTATCAGATTCTTCTTGGGATAATCGCTTGGGCTTCCCTCTTCTATCCCACATTTGGCGCCCATCTTTCCTCCGAACAACAAGGCCTCTTCCTACTATACTGTATCCAATTCTTCATATTCGCTTCCACGTTTGCGCAGATGATAATCGCTGGATTACCCGACGCTGAGACAGCTGGAGGGATTGCAACGACTATGTTCGGTCTAATGGTTACATTCAACGGAGTCCTCCAGAAACCCAACGCCCTGCCAGGATTCTGGAGGTTCATGTGGCGTGTATCCCCCATCACTTACACAGTTGGTGGGTTAGCAGCAACAACGCTACACTCCCGGGAAGTGAGGTGTGCACAGAACGAGTTGGCAGTCTTCGATCCCCCAAGGGGATCTACATGTGCTCAATATCTTCAAGAATTTGTGCAGGCAGGTGTTCCAGGAAGCCTTTACAATCCGACAAGCAACAGCCAATGCGAATATTGTCCACTATCCAGTGGTGATCAGTTCCTAGCGGGTTCCGAAATATACTGGAGTGACAGATGGCGAAATTTCGGTATTGGATGGGCGTATATCGTCTTCAATATATGTGCCACCGTCGCTCTGTATTACCTGATCCGTGTGAGGAGGCCTTCTGGAAAGCCAAAGAGAGTAATTAGTGTTATGATGTATTATCTTAGCAGGGCCGGAACATACTGCCGGGCTGCAATCACGGGCCGGAAGGAGAAATTCCCTAAGAAGCGAGAGCAGATTGGCAAGATTTACTGAGGCAGAGATGAGTTGTATGGAATACACTTTTACAATGTACATTTTTATATCATTGAACTCCAGAGTAAATATACTCAAATATTGAGAGGATTTTTTAACGTGATGGTATAATGTTACGTTCACTATGCTAGTTTCGTTTTCGATAGGAAAACCAAGTCATTAGTCGTAAATGCATTGTAGCAGTGATGCCTGCGGAAATATTCAAGAAGCTGATATGATGGAAGGTCGCTCTAAACAGCTCCAGATTCTCTCCGAAGTCCTCTTTTCCCATCACCTCCTCGCTGCCAAAGCCAAACCGCCTCTGTAGCCCATGCTCTAGCACTGGCATGTCGGCCAATACCCCTGGCTTTTGCCGGAGCTGGGGTAGGCTGGTTATTGTTGGAGGACTCTTTCTTTCCATCAACATCGACATCCCCTCCAGCTTCAGCTAACATGCCCGCCACAACGGATTCCCGCTCAACCACACTCCACAGCCCATTCACTAACGGACTGTCCTGATCACCCCATTCACCCTTACCAAGGCGGTAGAGCACACGGCCTAAGACTTGCCAAGCTAGGCATCTTTGGGCTGGCACCGTAGAGCGTGATAGTATCGCGAGCTCCGGGATTGTATATCCTGCCGCTTCTGGGTCGGCCGCATGATGATGAAGGCCCATGGATGGGGGTATGGAGAGTGCTGTGCGGGGCGGGAGGATGGCTCCTTTCAGAGAGAAGCGTAGTGCTGCCGGCGCAATAGAAGTTGCAGTGCTAGAAGGGTGGTAGGCGGATGACGGGTCAGAGTCAGAATCCGAGGAGCGTAGCCAAGACAGACCTGACGCAGAGTGAGGGGTGTCGGGAAAGTAGTGGGTTTGGAGATCAGAAAGAAACGAGGGCGAGGATGGGTCAAGGTTTGGCATGGGATCGGAGCGGGGTGGCGGACGAGGGAAGTGGATTGGTGGTGGTGGTTGGGAGGCCGGATGTAGGTCAGGCGGTGGAATCGATGGCGGAAGGTCGTCTGGCTGGATATATGACTGTTCATTTTCGTTGTTTTGAGCGTTTTCTGGCGTGCCTTGCTTGGTCGGTATATCGAACGAAACTGATTTCTTCGGTTCTCCGTCAGGGAAGTCAGAAGGGCTCGATTCCAACGCTCTGGTTCTAACATTTTTCTTCCCCTTTATTTCCTGGCCATCTTCGTCGATGTTTGCCCTTCTCAGCAACCTTTCGATCAATGACGCAGGCAGGGCGGCCGTAAGCTCAGCTCGTTCAGCTTCGATTTCCGTCTCCGACATAGCGTCTATTCTCCGCTTATTTTCTTCATCAATAGCCCTTTTTTCATCTGCCTCGGTGTCGTCTCTCGCCACAGATTTATCACTATAGGCATCAACACCTGCATTTTCACGTTGTCGTTTGAACGCGGATACCTTGTTGCGTTTGCGGTGTGCCGGGAAGCCAGTTTTGGTATGCGAGGATTTAGGCGTCGGGGCTGAAGGAGGAGTAGGCGCGGAGGGTGTTCGTTCTTGAATGTCGTTAACAAAGCTGCTGAGAGATGGAATTGGGGCCGTTGTAGCTGTTGCAGTGGCGGGTGCATCGTCGTCATCAGAGAGGTCGAGGTGAAACCTCTCACCGCGGAACGCCATCGTTTAAGGAATCCACAAAAATAAGATACTAGCAGACCAACTTTTATCGCTTGTCAGTACGTGTATCCCTATGTCGTGATGCGGTGATATGGGCGAATGTTAAAAAGTGAGCAGTATTGGAAGAAAGATGAAGTTCAAAGTGCTTCCTTTTTTTTTCTTGTCCCGCCAGTCTGGGCCAAGCACGGGACCTGCGGCTTAAAACTCTAAGTTCTAATCTGGACTAGTGTGGAACGGACGGACCTGCAGACGCTAATTCTAAAAAGGACTAGTTCAAGGGTATGCACGAGGCCGGACGCTAAACCAGATCGGGACATGGAGAACTCTTCTTCTTCGAACGACAAACATTCAACGACATCGAACATTGAACATCGACAGGATGATATAGAAAAGAGGTCGAAGACGGTGGATGACAGGCGTGGATGACAGTTGGTGGCGGGAGGAGCGAGGTGAGCCAGGGATGTGGTTGGTGGTTAGTGGAACTATCCCCGTGACCCCGTCTATCGAACTGGAGAGGGTCGGCGCCGGAGGAGAGTGACAGGCAAATGGAACGAAGAAACAGCTTCAGCGAGTCAATGAAGCGGTTGACATCAAAATCTGAGACTGACTGCTGCATACAGATGTCAAATATGATGCATCATCCGGGAGCCTTATCTCTCAACGAATGCGATCCCCGGCCTGCAGGAAAAACAACCACGACGAGCTAATGCAATGGTGACAGCCGATATAGACCAGTGCTAAGCTACGACAAAAAAATTCACCGACGTGACGTACCATTATGGCGGTATAGCCAGTATTCCAACCCTGAAGGCGACCTATCCCACAGACGTTGGCCTCCCCCCCGTTGCGTCTGTCTATAAAACGGTAGATGCTGTCCACACACAGATAATTAAGGGTGACTGGCGCCTCCTTAGTCATCAGGGATGCGCCTGTTATGCGCTAGCCACTAGTTCCTTCGCGCGGCCTCCACACCATATCAAGTCTTCGGCTTCTCAATTCTTCCCTTGCTCGAACTTGCTGCTTTTCTTGTGGCCGCCAAGCTCCCCCTCTCCTGCCAATTGTCCAGTGTACAAGAGAGTTATGTAACTTTGCTGCTCTGGTTCGTCCGCTTATCTGGAGAGAAGCCCGACAGTCAGCTGCTGCCCCTGCTGATACCGTACGCTGCAGCCGTGGCTCCGTCAGTAAGCCCGCTGCCCGAATCCACCACAATGGGTACGATGTATACGCTGGATACGATAAACTGTTCGAATATTGAAACCGGGCTGGATGGACTGAGGGAGGAGAGGATGTGTAATTAGCGATTTGCCCATCCCCCCATTCACGTTCATTTCTTTGCTTTACCTTTTCTCCATCCATTGATCATTCGCGTAAGCCTTGCCTGCCCGTCGCCTGCTTCTGCTTTCTTTTAATCTCTCCTTATCCCTTTTTCTTTCACTCTCTCCCTTCTTTCTTCTTCTTTTTCTTCTTCCTCTTCCTCTTCCTCTGTTCCCCCGGCAAGGAGTCTATAGCCCCGGCTCCCCTTACTCTCTCCAACTCCCAGCAGCTATCGATCCAACCCACGCCACGCCACGCCAAACTTGAAGCTCGAATTTTCTTCAAAACCAACGTGCTTGTTTCACCATCCCCATCTCAACTCATTAATTCTCCTTATCGTCAACTTTTTGTGCATCGCCAACGCAGTCTCTTTTTTTTCCCTTTGCCCTTTTTTTAATGCGATCCGCAATCAACAAAACCAACTCAACCAAACTAAGCTAACCTTCCCCTTCCTTCCGTCAAGCTCGTTATTTCTCTTTCAACGAACAACACAACAACACACGAGGAGTTTTTTTTTTTTACCTGGACGTTCCTCGCTACAACAACAGCAACAACAACACACCACGATCAGCTGCCTTCATCTCTCACCACCTCGGTACCTGTCAGAGATAGCTAAAAAAAAAGCCATAACAGGTTAAATTTTAAATAATACCGCTTTTTTTTTCCTATCGTGAAATCGTTTCTGATGAGGATGAGGATGTCCGGATAATGGACCCGCCTTCCTCGCCGTCACTGACTTCACTCTCTGAATGCGAGAGCATCGCGATCCCGTCGACTTTTCAATCCCAGGCCAGATCGGAATCCAAATCCAACCTCGAATCCCAAGCTCAGCCCGCTCAATCCGGAGCGCCCGCGTCAGCCATCGACCACCCGAGCACCAACAGCTGCAGCAGCAGTATCACGATGGACGAGAAGAAGCCTGTCGTGCCTGAAGACGCCGGCGCTGCTGGCAGGAAAAGTGGCAAAGAAAGCCGGCGGAACAGCAGGGCACCAGCCACAAATACAGACACCAGCCACACGCTTAGTCAGCTGGACGGTGCCACAGGGCCGAAGCAGAAGCGTGTCCGGAAGAGGAAAGACGACGATGAGAAGACGAAGCCGAAGCGGGAGAGGAACTCGACCGGCGAGAGGGCCGCAGCGGCAGGCAGGGACGGCGAGCCGAAGCCCAGGAGACAGCGGAACAGCAATGTCAAGCCGTCAGACAGCCCGGATGCAAACACAGCACCAACAGCGGCGACGGCTGCATCGCGGAAGAAGGCAAAGCTGGAGCACAAAGCAGATGAAACGACCACACCCTCCGCAACGCCGCGACAGGCAAAGATAACAGACATGGTCCCTTTGACTTCGACTCCGGCAGGCCATCCACAGCAGCAGCAGCTTGGCCAGCATACTCCGCAGACCGCCTCCGCACACCCTTCACCAGCACCGGCCTTCTCGTTGCAGCAAAACATCACCCAACACTCTCCGCAGCCATCGCCCCATCATCCGGCTTCCTATCCACCGCGGAGTAGCCCCTACGAAGCCGTCGGGTCTGCGGGCTCCTCGTACGCCTACCAGCCATCCAGCAACAGCAACAGCAACAGCAACACTCACCATGCACCACCACCTCCCCCGCCTCAGGCCCGTCCCGCGTCTCTCCCACGCTCTAGTGGGCAGAACTATGACCCTATTCGCTCAGCTATCGAGAGCAGCTCGTCGGTCTCTACTCCTGCCGTTCCTGCTGTGAAACCCGCGCCGGCTGCTCAGGCCAACGCATCCTATAGCCCACCACCGAACACCGTAACACCTCCACCTCGACCGGCCGCCACTCCTTTTCGGGCCAGCGCCTCTCCCGCTATATCTAGCATCATTGATCCGCCCGTGGCCAACTCTGCGCCTACCATCACTGTGCCGCCTCCTGTAATCACCACATCCGACAACAAGCCCACGCCGTCACCCACCCACCTCTCTACAAATAGCACTGCAGAATCTTCCCAGCCTTCAGCTCACCCTCTCACCCATTCCAAATCTCAGGACTCAAACGCA